ACAAATCAAAATTCTTGAAGGGCAAGTAATGAATAAGAAAATGAACAACAATTAAATAGAACATGAACTACAAGCCCGCCTGAACTGTTTCTAAAAAATCTCACGATCTGTAGTGTCACGATTGTCTGTTTTGTGCTGTTATGAATGAATAATAGACAGATAAATTAATTACTTCTTGAAAATTTTTATTCAAAGATCCACAAGTTAATTCTAAATTACAATCCACGCTCTGGATCGTGCGAGACCACTCACGCAAGTACAATCGGCTGAGAACATGGCAAAGTTCAACAAAGAAATTCAAATCGAGGCACATTCTGTAGTTTTCCAGTTCACGCCGATGTCAAAATGTACAAAACGTCTAAGAAAACTTTATGATACAAACGTTTTCTTCTAAAAACGTACTTCCCTTGACCATTTTGTACAGAATATACCTCAAATTTCTTCAGATACTTAGCTGCCTTGGCCCAGAGGGTACCCCGGATTTCAAGTGACGGGGATGATCGAAGGACTTTTTTGGGGTTTGAAATTTTCGAGTTTGCAATTTTGGGATTTTTTGGGCGGAAAAAGTTTCCATGCATTTTTTGAATGCCTTGATTTGAGAAGGGATTTTTTGGGGCGTACGTAGTTCTGCAATAACGTACATCCAAACTTCTTTTTGAAAAAATTTTCGTGTTATATCATTTAATGCTGTCTGTAATTTTTAAGGCTCGTAAATTCGTCAAGGGATTTTTGAGGGGATTTTGTTGGAAGTCCCAGGGATTTTTGCCCCAATTCGACCACCCCCGTCACTTGAAAATCGAGAGTAACCCCCCCTGGGTGCCTTGGTTGTCCCAAAACCAGGCCAAGCGTTCCACCTTGCAGAAAACAAGGTTTAATTCCTCAAAGAACAATTTCGTAAGAAAAAGGCTTCGTTTGTCTACAAAAGGGAAACTGAGACTTCTTTTGAAATTTCTGTTGCCATTAATTGTCTTTTGTGGGGGTACTTTCCACCTTAAAATAATAATAATAAGAAAAACTTTGGTCTTGTTGAAAACCACCGCATAGTAAGCGCACCCAGCCATTTTGTTGAAGGTGTTAAATCCGTTTCTTCCCCTACCCAATCTAAAGCCTTTTGAAACAATAGGGGACAAAACTCTCTATTAGAGGGGAAGAGACTCATGTCTACTTAGGCCTACCCTAAATAAACGTACGGACGTAGGTCCGTACAGTGACGTCATAACCAACTTTTCTCGCATCGATAAGTTGCTAATTTCTGTAGTATTTATTAAGGCTCCGCTATAAGGCTTATTTAGCCAACTGAAAATCATTAAACATAGATACAGCTAAAGTATTGAATAACACATATATTATTAGGACGGTTCTTACGTAGTCTCAAACCGGATTAACCTAACCCATGAAAGCGTAGCTGACATTGCAGGGGTGGATTTTCTTTAAAGACGCCTTTAATAGTGTTATAACTTTTAATTCGCATTTTTTTTCTTTATATGCATTAATAAGTATATTCTACATGTATTTTACTGTGTTAGCATGATTTGTATCATGCAGTTTTAATGGTCTTTAGCTCACTAAAGAGATAAGAACTCAGTTGGATCCTTATATTCTTTAATTAAAGGCAAGGAAGATATAGAGGGACGATTACTATCCAGGGAATTGGACATCCTGATTCCAGCTAAGGTTATATCTTTATCCTAGGTATTTGCCAGTCTGGTTTGAGCTATTTTAGTGGCTATTGTTACTTTACAAGTCGCACTTGTGGTTCTTGGATCACCGCTGTATCAAACTGTTCAGCAATGAGTTCCAATTTGGTAACAGTTCATAACCAAGATGAAAATGTTTACATTCAACACCGACACAATGGAGAGAGATCCTGGATTGGACTTAACGACCGAAGTGTGGAAGGCTCCTTTGTGTGGACAAACAAAGAAATAAGTAGTTTTAGATTCTGGGCGCCGCGGCAACCGAACAACTGGAGAAATGAAGACTGTGTTCACACTCTTGGCGCAAAGCATGGTTACACTTGGAATGATGTGCCTTGTCATAACTGCTATAACTACACTTGTTTTAAAGGTACATGAGATAATATTGTTTAGGTACCAAGATAAGAAATAATTATGCTTTTGTGACCCTTTTTTGTGTTTTAGCCTGCATTCAACTACAATAAAGAAAGACCTATCAGAAAAAAAAAAAATTGAAACAAATCAGAATCTGACTGAAAAAGTTTGATAGTGGGTTTGTTTTGAAAACATTGTCCTTAATCATTATAAAGCCACAGACTCTGGTAGATTTCGTTGGAGACTCTCGTTTGCCATTGACACAAATCATTCCCATTTACCGACAAAGAAAATGTCCACAAAGCCTGAAATCTGTACCAAAGATGAGTTCACGTTAACTCTGACGTAGACTTGTAGGCACGCTTCCATTTCTTTTATGTTTTCCACAGGGACGAAACGAAACCTGTTTTTAAAAGAAACATTTTTATAAATGGCTCAACGAATATGAGCTCCGCAAGGCAAGCTTTTTAAGATCCTTTTTGCGAGTCACGTTTTCCCCGCATTTTATTTCTCTTGACGGTTCACCCGTAAGACTGAAGAGTGTTTAATCTTTACACTGTGTGATTTTCCCTTTTAGACTTAAATGAATGTACCACTGGTTCCCATTCCTGTGACGTCAATTCCGTATGCCAAAATACCGTGGGTTCATACACATGCTCGTGTAATGCCGGGTACACAGGAGATGGAAAACCTTGCAATGGTATATTAGATAATAATTGAGGCAAAGCCCGTCCACACGAATCACATAATTATCTTTTTTACCCAGATTCGTGCAAACGGGGTCTTAAACCCCTCTGAGCAGTTTTAAAAAGATGCGGTTTCGGTGAGCGGATTCACTAGTTTCGTGTGGAGGCCAATACCGATTCGTGTGAAAATAAAAAATGTGGCTCTTAAAAATATTTGGTTCGTGTGAAAAAAGGTACATTTCCTATGCAGCGTAAAAGTAACGTTTGACACTGTCTCCAGTACGCTCTGGAGCGCGGTTTAAAAAAGATGCGGCTTCGGTGAGGCTATTCATGGTTTCGTGTGGATTAAAGGCCGATTAGTGTGAAAAAGTATGCGGTGCACTTCATTATTGATTATAAAAAAGGACAGCTGAAGGCTTGGTAGTTCAGTTTTGGTGATGCTAGAGAAAATGGCAAAGAAGACTGAAAGAGCCAAACTACTGCCTTTTAAAGAACAACGCAAAATTGAACAGCAAACATAATACTCGACCGACGACAACGGCCCCTGAAGATAGATATTCTTTAGACTGAACATGCCCTGTTATCCTGAATTTACCGAGGAACAGGCCAATGTTATGAAGACGACAGAAACTTTGCATCGATGAAGAGAAGCAAGATTTAAATGCAGATCTAGGGGGCGGGGGGGGGGGGGGAGGCAATAGGGGGGCGGAATCAACAAAAGGGGTTTTGAAAAAAAAAAAGTACGGAGAACAATCCCCCGGGCGATCGAAAAAACGTTTCCCTTTAACCACACTTCCCTCAATTTTTCTCACACTNAATAATAAGTTACGCTGAACTACCACCAGGCAGATGCAAAATCGCTTCTCCTTAACGCAACCTTCACTACATTTTTCCAGACATCGACGAGTGTTCTACCAACACTCATAACTGTGACGTCAATGCGGCGTGCAACAATACTGTGGGATCGTACGCATGCGTGTGTAAAGCAGGATACTCAGGAGATGGAAGAACATGCAATGGTGAGCCTTTTTGATCTTTTTCTAAAGGTGATTTAAAAGAAAGGAAATAATATCTTTGATTCCTGAAAACTAGCTTACTCGAGTGCAGACGAAAAAGTTTTTTGGTTGGTCAGACAACAACAACGACGACAACAACAGCAGAAACAACAATCATTATTACTTTACAATTATATATGTTGTTGAATAGGAGAAAACGTAGAGTACTGGCTTCTTGGAATAGCTGTTACAGGTCAAAATTAAACTCAGGTTAAACTGAGATTTTTTAACCTTGGTTGATTCTCGATTTCCTTTGTCTCCTCGCCCTAATTATTGACCATGGATTGGGGTTAGGAGACAAAAAAATCACCACTGGAAATTTAGAAACAACCTAGGTTTAAAAATTTTACCTGAATTTAATTTTTACATGTCTCATAGCCATAAGATAGCCATTGGCCATTGGGGTCTGGGCCGCCGGTTTCGGAATGAGGGGGGAATGCATGCGCATATGGGACTGTTATTAAAATGCTACGGAAAAACTAAATGTATGATTGTGTTTTCGAGAGCAGAGTAAATTTCGCGTTTGTCGTTTTTCTTTCCAATCTAGCAGGTTGCGAATAGCCCGGCTCCTTGCTCTTCAGTATACAACAGTTCATCAACCTCTATGAGGTTATGAGATCGCTTGCTAAGGGTGTGTTCCTTTCGGTGAATCCAAAAACGGATTTTAGATCTAAGAACGGATTTCGCGTTCCTTTCGGCAAATCCAAATCCGGATTTTTGATCTGGTGAATCCTTTTTGAAAAAGGATTCATTGGATTTGAAATCCGAAGAATCCAAATCGAGATTAACGAATTAGTGATCTACGCTGTTCCATTCACAGTGGATCCGAAATTAGTCAGATGATCCAGCGGTATTTCCAGTTGAAGTATTCCCATTGAGGCCGTAGAGTTTCCTCGTTGCTGTCATTTGCCGCAAAACATCTGAAAACACTAGAAGATTGTTCCTGGTACATTAAAATATCCATATACTAACCATTTGTCTCTAAAGATTGCTTGAAATCAGAAATAAGTAAAAGTAACAAATGAACTGCTATCTGACTACAAACTCGCTTGTAGACGCGACAGGCACTCGATCGTGTTACATAGAAAAATCTGAGCTACGGAACTGAATCAAACTGGTCGACATTCTTTAGATAATTTTCAATTTAATGCGCTTCTTTCTTTGTCTGTTTTATATGTTCCATCGTCGCTATTCGAACTGCCGACCACTAAATTCTGCACGGTATAATCGCATAATTTGTCAAACAGTAGAAAACACGTCATTTCTTGAGAGGCTGTCATGCATATTGCACGCGTTGGCGAAAGGTTACCACGGTTACAAATCCAATTTCGGATTTTACGTTCCTTTCGACCGCGAAATCTGGCAAATCTAGGATCAAAAATCCGTTTTTGGATTCGCCGAAAGGAACACACCCTAAACGAAACGAACGCTTATCCTCTTAGGTTCTAGCTTACACGGGCCTAAAATCACAGAACAAATCTCACGGAAAATCGCCGTTAAAGAAGGGCCTGTATGACGCACTTTAGGAACCCTTGGCGAAAGCAACGCCTCCCCCTTATCCTTCGTGTTCCCTGAGTAAATACAGCTTGTTGAGCCTGTACAAACTCACCCAATGTAAGTGGAACGATTTTTGACACCTTTTTTTAAACATGGTTATGTTATTTCATTCCGTTTTTGTTTTCTCCTGCTACCTCTTTGCAAAATGGGCGTGACTGCCCCCGCAGGGATTTCGCCTTCCCCGAGGAGGGACTCTAGTAACTCGCGCGTATATTAAGGAAAGTACTTACAGCTGAAATATACAGTCAGTATGCCAGAAAAAATCTCTATTTTTTTGAACAGGGGCCGCAAGGAATCGGTAGGTAATGATGACGTTTCTATTGTTTGCGCCCGCAAGTACGAAATGGTTAGGATGAGGTAAAGAGAGAAAATCCCGAAGGGACCGCCTAGGTAGATTTTGTGACATTTATTGTGCCTTCGATATTCTTTTGCGTTACGTGTTATCAGTGACATTCTGTGGAGCAGTTGTTTTGAAAGTTATGGACCAAAAGACAATCGTTAAGCGCTGATGAAGTTATAAGGTGCGTCATATATAGATTTAGCCAGGGCTAAAAGCGAAGCTCCCATTAATAAATTTATGATTTAAATCAAACAATAAACTTGTAATCCGCAAATCAGTTAACTGAAGGGCACATATGTCACTTTTTAGGGAAAGCTAAGGCTAAGTTATATTAGAGTGAAAAAAAATCTTACATCGAACTGATAGCCGGTATATATACACCCAAAAAATAGCAATCATCGTCGATCACAGTAGATTATGCCTGGAAAACGAATTCATGGAAAAAACAAATCAGGCCGAATTTTTTGCGTTCGACTAGTTTTCTTAACAAAATCTTGCCAACAACTCTGGGAGCGTGTAAACCAACATTTCATATTTTTTATACATCACATCTGAGGTGAAACAGTAATATGAGGCGCTGTTTTTATCATACAGACCTCAGACAAAATGCAGTATTTCACAATTTTTCAAGACAAATTGCACTCATTCAATATTCAGAACCGTACGAAGCACGCGTGGGCTTTTAGCAAAACTGTTCAAAAAATTTCCAAAATCACCTATACGGCCAGCCGCTTCTCACTTTTGACAAGGGCCAAATTTTCAGTGAACATTAAAAGAGTTACGCTTCAACATAATAAAGAATTTATTGTTTATTTTTTTTATTTAATGGTATTATAACGATGTGTAATCTTAAAAAGCGTTTGATACGCGCGGCACTTTGAGTACTCCTGCAAGCGATGTTTATGAACGACTGAAAACAAACGGCAAAGCGATTATAATTGCAAGAGACTACTAACAATCAATAAAAGAAATGTAATTCGGTGAAACATTTACAGAGACGACAATTTTCATTCACGAAGACAAGTATCAAAGCGTCTCTAAAAATCCTGAGTCTTTACACTTAAGCCTAAAGCTTTTAGCCGGCTTCCTGGTGTTTACTGTTTTCAAAGATGAACTCGAGGCAAGAAAATCGCTCAAAGCTTTCTTTCTACAGCCAAAATTATAACTAAATACTCTGTCGAACGTTTTTTCTTTCTATTTGCAGAGAGAAAATATTGACTGAAGGCTTTTTAAAACTCTGTAAGCTTATATCAAACCTCATACTACAGATCAGATCATTGTCTCAGATCTTAATACAAACGTGCATAAACTAGCCTCATAAACTGCGCTCGACTTCATGACATTTAAGATATAAAAAAAAAAAACAAACACATACACTGTATACAATAATTACTCAGGCTTACCATCTGAGATGCAGCTCTTGGAAGCTATCAAGTAAGGCCAGAATCGCTTGAGGGACTTTTCAACCCCACATCCAGCAAGGTGAAAAACGAAAACGATGCATCCGAAATCGGATTTCCAACTTTGACAACCGGCGCATTTCCCAACCAAAAATTCAATAAACAAACCAGCCATGAATCAAAGAAGACTGTTGATAGCAGCTGTATTTCATTTTAAGCATCCAGTGGGAAAAGACAGTAAAAAACATCACAAGTTGACAAAATACTCTGTCAGCTTCAGCTGTCAAAGTAAACAAGGTTCAACATGCTGTATAAATTTTCTGAATGAACTCACCTGTCAAATTTTGACCAATAAGAGCATAAAAATTGGACGGTCGTAGAGCGTGATCAACGCGTGACTATGGTGAGAAACGTGAAAGCCTCTGTCTTCCCTGCTTGGATTTTTAAATGACTGGCTGAATTTTCGCGTCCGAGATCAGTTTGAAATCAAAATGTTAATAGCGCGGGGCCATAGTGACATTAACACAACACTTTCTGTCATCATGTCATTATTTTGCTGCCGTTCTCTTTGCCTTTGTATTTCTCTTTCGCGTTGCCTTTGTCTGTTCATTCTAGCTCTGTCTCGTTCTGCTTGCTGGCGTTTTTCATTATAATTTTCTCTCCTTCTTCTCACTCTGACTCTTTCTACTTGCCGACTTTCTTCGCTAAAATTTTGTCTTCTTCTTCTACTTCTAACGCGCTCTCTTTGGCGATCGTCTTCGCTTGTTCTACGCATGTTGACTCTTGCTCTCTGCCGTTCACCTTCTCTTTGCTATCTGCTTAAAACCATTCGTCTACACGCTAAAATCTCTCTGCTGTTCTTTGTTGACATAATAGCTTTCGTAAGTTGTAATAAAAAGTTATTAAGGCTCTGTCGAAAAATCTTTTTGCTAAGTTGCGTTGAAATTTCTTTTTTCAAAACCAGTTGCGCGATATAATTGCGCGACGTTGCGCCATGCGATTTCCCGCCAAAAAAAAATCTACTTTCCCCTACCCCAAGAGTCCATGCGGACTATTTTCCACTACCCGGAGAGTCCGTACGGACGGACGTACGCTGACGTCATAACCAAAATTTCTCGGATGGGTAGTTTATCTTAGTTATGGTGCTCCGCTTGCGCGCGCTTCGCGCGCGCAAGGAGCTCCGCTATAACTGTGTATATATAATCACCTGGAGAGTTTGCCAGACACGAGTTGTCCACAAATCTTTAATTGGAAACCTTGCCAGACACTCCTTCTCTCTCTTTGACCGGAATAAGACTCAGCCCCAAACAAGCAAGATGAGTGAACAACGGCTAGCTTATCACTAGCAGGACGATGGACGATTACAGAAATTCGCCGACAATCAAATTCTGTGCTGACTTATTCTCTGCTCACAGATGTCCTTCCGCTATAAAGTTTAAAATAAGACTAAAATGCGCGAGCGTGAATTGATCAAACGTCCTTTTAATTTCTAAGGCTTACAATGAACTGAATGTAAAAAGTGAAAAAGAAACAGCGAAAAATTCAACTTCTAATTAAATCTTTTCTTATGGTTTAGAATAAACTATTCTCGAAACTGATAATTTTTTTATCAAAGCTGTGTAAATCGAACTGAAACTGTGCATGAACCTTACGTTTCCTGTATTTATCTCACCTATTGTATGGAATATGCGTGAAAATCTTCATTATGAATCGGTATATTTCAAAGAGCTACACAACGAGCAAGGATACTATTGACCGACAATATACATAGCGGGGGCAGCTGTAGTGTCAAGTATTACTAGTTATATAAATATTGTTATTCTTCTATTTTCAGATATGGACGAGTGTGCTAGCGGTACTGATGACTGTCACAGTTCACTTGCTTCTTGTACCAACACAGTGGGATCCTTTAGTTGTACGTGTAATAATCCTTCCAGCGGAGATGGCAGAACTTGCAATCTACCTTCAGGTAACGAGAAAGATCAGGGGTTTCGTTACAGGGCGGGACGCCGGACGCAACGTCCGTTTGTTTGACATGCAACGTCCGGTAGTTCACACACGTAATACTAATTTTTTAAGTGTGAAAATCGTTTTTTTTTTTCATTTATTAACCAAAGACTTGACCCTTATTTTTCTCACTTAGTTATGTAATGCATACAATCGAAAAAAAAAAAAA